GGGGATTTTCTAGAAGGCAATATTATTTTTTTTTGTACACCTATAGAAGAAATATTTTTTTTTTCTCGCTTGATGGTTGGAACCTACAGTAAGGGGCCCTACAGTAATTTTTTAGTCAAGTAAGTATTGTTTACATTTTTTTGTTATTGTCGCTATTTGACATGCGCACCACAGTATGCATGCGTTTTCTGGTGTGCAAAAGTACTCATACTCATGGATACTGCATGTAAGATACAGCCAAACGAATCTCCGTGGAGTCCCCTACTTAAGCTGGCTTTCGACTAAAAAATGACTGTAGGGCCCCTTTAAGTGAAATTTATAGGCGTATTAGTGGTGTAGTCCTGGAATGTTAACAAGGGGGGCTCTCCAAAGTGCCCTGAATTGGCGGGAGGGGAGGGGAGGTACAATAAGATATTTTGGAAATTCTAAATTTTGTTGGGGTTTATTCTAGTAATTCTGGGACAAACATTTGACGTTATTCTTATTAAAAACAAGCCGAAGCGAGGGCCGAAGGCCCGAGGAAATTTTTAAATTTAGAGTCTCTGAAATGCCATTTCCTGGACTTTGGGGAAGATTTGACATGAAATTTCAACAAGGGGGCTCAGCCCCCTGAGCCCTCCCTCCAGTACACCACTTGGCCTATCTTCTAAGCAAGGATTTTTTGCACTATGCCTGGAAAGATTTTTTTTTTCTTAATTTTTTTCTGGGAATAAATTTTTTTTTTGGTTTTGCCCCCCCCCCCATCACTTTTCTAATGGTCCGTCCCTAAACCAATCAGATTTACAACCGAAATACGGTTGTAAAAACATGGACTTTTGTTAAGATTTGTATCAGGTCTATTTATTTATTTATAGGCCTGATCGCAGGTTAGGGAACATGGTGGATGTGAACACCAGTTTGAGGCGCACTATTTTTAAACAATTTGCTCATGGTAATCAGACTGCGAACCACATATACGAGTTGTCAAACGTTTGAAGACAAAAAACAGGCAGGTGTGTCGGGTCAATGCCTTAAATAATTTTAAAACTAACCTGCCAATATCAATACAATTATCACCACGGATTGATCCAGGCATTGATTTGGCCTAAAAATAAGAAAAACAATTACTGGGAAGTGGGTATATATGGACAATATCAGGAAAATATGCATACCTGCATGTCTTAAGAAATAATGTATAAAATAATGGAAACTCATTGTGTTGACAGATATATAACACCTGCTCTTACTATATATAGCTTTTCGTATTTTAATCTAGCATTTAGTTTTACCCTGCATGATGATGACTAAATAGGCAATTCCAGCTTTTAGTTTATGCATGCAGGGGAGGTCGGGAGGATGGGAACATTGGGAAGTAAGGTATAACATTGGTGATTTTGCTGAAAAATAAAAATGGTGGCTAAAAAATAAAAAAAGATAAAGCAACAAAGGAAGCCATGGATAACAAATAGTATTTTGACATCAATAAAAAACAAACAATGGCTTTTAGGACTCATTTCTTAAGTTGGAATTCAGATTTGGTAAAACAATTTAAGACATATAATAACAAGTTAAATAGGATCAAAGAAACTGCTAAGAAAATTTCTGATTGACCGGAAGTTAAGTCATTCCGTTCCAAGTATGGAATAGCGCATGTTACAGCACAGCTAACCTGCTCGGGCTCGTTAATTATTTTTCACCCAGTTTTAATTTGGAGCACCGAGCATGGTCTGTGCAAATTATTATACCGGGCGAATTTAAACGCAAGTCAGGTAACAACGACTTTTCCCTAAAATATTCAAATGCTTTTTACAATGTTGTTGTTATAGTATTGCTGAAAACATTATATATATATATATATATATATATATATATATATATATATATATATATATATATATATATATATATATATATATATATATATATATATATATATTTAATAAACTCATTAATAATTCAAAACACAAAGAAAAATCATAAGCGTGTCGTGGTTTTATATGTGATAAAAAATCACGTTAATTTACATAAACTTTAGCTTTGATTTTCTCGGTTTAGACAAAGTTTATCTTAAAAATTACTTCGCCAATGAACTCGTATAAGATGAGTCGTTTTTTAAGCTATTTAAAACACTTGTAGTCGTGTTTTATCACATATAAAACACTCCGCTACGCGTCGTGTTTTATATGTGATAAAACACTCCTACGCGTGCTTTAAATAGTAGCTACATATATTTCGCCGTAATAACTGTTTTTGCATATTTTATATATCGTGCTCTTTTGGTATTAATTCTTTAAAATCTTATATTTAAACTAGTTTAAAAGAGGCTATATATAAAAAGCGAATCTATACTTTCAATTGCTCTTTTTAGAGAACAAGTTTGATGAAGTAAAAGGTTTAAAATCAGTATATAATATACCTGCCATTTTCTGTTATACTACTATAGGTATAAATCACTATCCTTTTCCGGCTGATAATTTCAGCAAAAATAAAACAAAAGTTATTCCGAATAAGGAGTGCATAATATTAACACACAATTTATTAAAACTGTATATTTCGAATCTAAATCAGATTCATCTTCAGCAGTGTTTTACCCGATATGGGGTACATCCTCGGGTAGAAGAATTTGCATCACAGACTACGTCATCAGTTAGTTATAGCAATTAGTTTTGAGGTTAGGGTTAGGGTTAGGGTGAGGGTTAGGGTAAGGATTAGGCTTAGAGATAGGGATTTGGTTATATCTGACGCCACAAACAACACAACTAGCCGATCACGTGATCACTTCTCCTCTACCCGAGGAACTACCCAAGATATGTCGTTATATTTACAAGCGTGAGCAATTTTAAACAAGCTAGCGTGCGCAAAAGTGCGTAAGCAATCAATAGCATTTATTCGTATAAATCACTGACTCGCAAAAACTGTCCGAAAACGATAGAATGCAACTTCCAGGACATTTGTAGCCATTCCTTGAAGTTATTTAAATTCTTACTGTCGTTCCAATTGAAGTGTTGCTCAAATATTGATTCAATAAATTACCTCGGGTTGACCAATTCATTTGATCAAGTTCCTCAAGATATTCATACACTTCCTGTGAAAGAGCCAATTCCAAGTATTTGATCATTTCTGGTCACTTCCTTTCTATTTAAGATTGGTTAGTTGCACAAACAACAAAGGTGATTGGTGCATTCAAACTATTCAACAGGAAGTTTACAATTATACTATATAGGAAGTGTATGAATATCTCGAGGAACTTGATGAAATGAATTGGTCAGCCCGAGGTAATGTATTGAATCAATATTTTCATGAGCAACACTTCAATTGGAACGACAGTAAATGTTCAACTACAACTTTCTTTTTTTATATTGTGGTATATGGGTCTTTCCATTCCCATTTTTATGTCTGTTATTCCCAGTAATTCAAATCCCATTCTCCCAGTGCAAAAAATAGGCAAATCCCAGTTCCTATTTTACCCCATTCAGAACCCTTTTGCAAAAAATAAAGTTCCTGAACGAAAAGAATACGAATTCGGCAAATTGCTTAATTTGTTGATGGGATGCTATAGGCCTGCAGGTACCCGCGCGCTATACAAAGGCGTTTCTTAATACGAATAAACGATGTTGCAATCTCGTTGGCTGTCAAAAAACCGTCAGCCAATGACAGCCAATCAAATTGTGTATTCGCATTATCAAACGCTTCTTTGCAGCGGGTACCACGGCATTATGTGTACTACTACTCTATTTAATTGACAAACTTTATTTTTTGCAGTTAGAAATTTATTCACGTCAGTTCAATTTTCTCAGACATCGTTGTATTCTTTCTATAGTCAAAGCAAGGGTGAAGAGACGTTGCATTTGCAATCATGTCAGCAATGCACTACGCAGGACGCAACCTGGCCATTCTAGTCCTTCTGCAAGGTATAAGAAACTGACATTTGCACGTTTTAATCTGACAGATATATTAGATATATTATATGGCCAATTTATAACCGTTGAAAATCGCATATCGTGTATCTCATTTTGTCTCTTTTTAATATTTGTTTTTGTATTTGCCTTTCGAAACAAAAAATGGATTTGATAAAGAAACCAGACATATACTATTAAACTTATATTAAGGTCCGATTCCACGACGGCTTTTTCTCGGCGAAATGCGAAACATTTCGCACGAAATGAAATCGTAAAAGTAGAATGCGCAGTAAAGATGATTACTATAGGCTTCGCGAGAAAAAATTTCGCTTCGCCAGTGAGTAAAAGACAGTTTCTTCTTATGCCGGTTTTCCACTTGCGAATTCTTTCGCGCGAAGCGAATTTTTCTTTTGTCTTTATCCAATTAGTTCCAGATGGTTCCAGTTCAGAGGCCAATGACAAATGAAAAATTCGCTTCGCGCGAAAGAATTCGCAAGTGCATGGAACTACCGGCTTTAAGGCCTGATTCCACGACGGCGAAATTCTTCGCGCAAAATCGTATCTGCGAAATATATGCATGACTGCACATGCATGAGTGATTCTATTGAATTTGCCTAATTTATCTTTACTTCGCATGGACGATATTTCATTTAAAAAGGGCTCGTGGGCTCAGTCCGTTGCTCACTGTGAAAGCGAATAAAGTGGCCAAATTGAAAAGAATTGCACATGCGCAAGCATCCATATTTCGCAGACACAATTTCTCGCGAAAAATTTCGGAATCAGGCCTTAACAGTGTTTAAACGCCAGATAAATAATCTGGCGTCTCGTCTGGCGTTCTGTGGAATCATGCCTTAAAGGCCCACACAGACCGAACGCGATTCGACAACGCGACGCGAATTTTCAGTTTTTAAAACCAAGTAAAACCGTCAACGGATAAAAATTTTACAAGCTATACAGACCAAATAGGTAAAATTGCTTAAGTTGTTCCGAATTTTTGAAAAACATTGAAAAATGGTAAAGTTAAATGTCATTGAAAATTGTAAATTCGCGTCGCGTTGCCGAATCGCGTCCGGTTTGTATATATATATATATATATATATATATATATATATATATATATATATATATATATATATATATATATATATATATATATATATATATATATATATATATATTATACACCTGCAGTTAAGAAATTCTCAAACTTGCCCATAAATTTGTGTAATTTAATTTAATCTATATTTTAAATTACTGCATGGTGGTGCATTATTCTTGTCGTGTTTTTTAAAAAAACAATACTTCAGGATTTTTCGCAGTATGTGTATACATGGAATTTCCAATTTGTGTGTTTTTTCTTTGCTTTTGTAGTCTACTGTATGGTTACATCCTTAAGATTGAAAATTGCAGTGGAAAAGAGCATCGAAAGCGATGCGTCCCTTACAAAACGAAGTACCAGCGCGTGTTCTAATTATATAAAGATTGATCCAAATACGATATCTTACGATGCAACTCCTAAACCATGGGATCGTTCGCCTGCTGCAACATTTGTGTCAAACACCGTTACGCAAGGTAAACGCCTTTTCATGACTATATATATATATATATATAATTGATTCAAATTTGTCGACATCATATATACTTGTGGTATATGTTGGCATAACACATATATGCACGGTTTTATGATTTCGATGTACGATATCCCAAGATTTTGACGTTTTTCCAGGAAGTCATTTTGCATCAAAAAATGTTAAATATTTCAACAACATAGTCAATAGAATAAGAAGTGTAGGAAAATCGATGCAGACATAATAGACCTCATTATCTATGTTTTTGTCGGTCGGTTCATCCTCCAACAAACAGAAGTTCACAAACATATTATGTCATGTGAACATTTTCAACACTTCCAGACCCTACTTAACCTACCTAACAGTAACACACTACTATAGATCAGTTTGATCCACATACCACAGAAGCCATCATATACCAAAACTGTATTATTTTAGATAAATCTAGACATTGGTCATTATTGTTATATAAGAAGTCTTTACATATACATCGCCAAAAACCGGAACTTAGCCCTCTAAGGAACTTGTGATCTTTAATTAGCGCGTAATTTGATCCGCTTAACTTGTAAATATATATCTCAGTATTTTTCAATAGCGTCATTCCTGATGATGCATGACTGAAACCTAGTCGAAACGTTGAATAAAATGTGAACTATTTTCGGAGTGTCTATATTGTTTTTTTGTTTTTTTAAATTAATACTCAATGGCAACCGTAATTTCGGTTCATCCTCACGTGTGTATTGTTCTTTTCGCCCAACCCGGCAACCAATATAGCAGTCGAGTCGTGATATTATTACACAATGGTTAAATGAAAACATAGATATTGGTTGCTCTATTGCTTAAATAGAATACACACATGACGATAAACCGACCTATTCAGAGATAATAAGGTCTATTAGGTCTGCATCAAGTTTTCTAACCTATACACCCTTTACATAAATGGCTGCTGATTAAAAATTCTTTTATGTGCATATAAATTGGCCCAACTAGCCTCGTTTCTGGGTAGAAATTCCTTTAAAATCTTAACATGAGTACGAGGCTAGTTATAAATTGTATATGCACATAAAAGAATTTTTAATCGGCAGCCATTTATGAAAAGGGTGTATAATTATTCTGTTGACTATATGATCTCAAGAACGAAGTAGGTGAAAATAGTAGTTATTAAATGTCTTATTTGGTCAATTTTAATTTTCTTTACCGTGAAATTTCGTCTCATAATACTTTAACTTATAAGTTAAATAAATGAAATTAAAATTAAATTAAGGTATGAACAAGGCTTTAATGGCCCGTGTACCGGGACTTGGAAACACGACAATCAGAGATGTATTTGACAAATTGAAGGTGAATGGATGTATATGCTTACCATTTGGTGGGGCTGTTCGTGATCAATTTCTTGGCGGTCAAGTTCTGGATATTGATGCTGATACACCGTGCGGGGTGAACAAAGTCGTGCGTATTTGCAAGGAAAATTGGGATTCAAAATATTGCAAAGCTCCACACAGGAAGGCGACGTTAAAAATGTGCATATCGGTGATCAAACTGAAGCAGACGGAGAAGAAATTGATTTGGCCAATTGGAAAAAAACTTTCATTGATAAGCTGACCAACTTGGAATACACCACGAATTCACTCGGGTACTACGAAGACGACACAAACAACAGAGGCGTCGTGATTGACCTTCCTGGATCGGGTGTAGTGGATACGTGTAACAAGAAGATCAGAATTCCTGTTCCGCCTGATCAATGGGAGAATTGGTACAATCGCGACAGTTGGAAAATATTTCGCTATTGGAAACTTCGTGCGAAAGGATATACTGCACCGGATGACGCGCTACCGTCATTTATCAAAAATAAAACAAAAGAAATCCTCAAGATAAAAGATGGCATAAAGACATTCAAAAAGTCGTTTTGCAAGTACGCTTTCTCTGGCGAGTATAAAAAATGCGATGGACGGGAAAACTGTATTGTTCCACACCCAGCCTGTACAGACTCCGTGCAGCTGAACGAGAAAAGAAACAAGTATTATGGACTCATCGAGGAGAATCTTGGCGAATACTGGAAGGATGAAGCAAAAGCATTGTTAGATAACCTCAGTATTGAATGTGCTTCTTCGAAGGGGGGATCCGTCTCTAGTAGTCGGTATTCTTCATTATTGAATGTGCTTCTTCAAAGGGGGGATCCGTCACCAGCAGATTGTAACACAGGAAACAAAACCAACCAGTTTTTAATCTTGATTATCGTTGGTATGGTTATCCAGTATTGTGGTTTACTTTACATTTGACTTTAACTTGTAATTTGAATATATTCATTGTTAGTAAACAGGTTGACAAGGGCAAAAAGCCGTCTTACAGTAATATTGGATACCTTCGTACTTAATTTTGCGCGATCTTAATTTCGCGATTGTAAAAAAATCGCTAAATTTAATAATATTATAATAGTCTTAGTATTTAGCTACAGTTTGCATTTTGCAATTGTCTGGTTTAATACCATGCAGCAATAAAGATGAGTAAATTGAGGAATAAAGACATACTCAGGGCCTTTTTTAACATACAAGCTGGGGGGGCAAATGCCCCCCAGTCCCCCCTTGTGCCCCCCCCCCACGAAATCACATTTTGCCCCCCCAGGAAAAGTCCCTTTTCCCTAAAATTATAGAAACAAACCAGCGAAGATTAACAAATACATAAACGGAAAGTAAGTTTTAGGCTTTATCCTTTGTCCTTGTTTAACAAAATCGATTTAAATTGTTACTTTTTTCTACCACTAAGTAATGATAAATTATTGTTAATAATTTTTTATTTTTTGGATGCTCAGAATGCAGGAAATAGCATTTCCGGGTTTCAAATTTCAAACATTTTCTGGGGATTATCCCTCTAATAAGTAATGATAAATTACAGTTAATATTCTTTTTCACTTTTTGTGCATTTTTTCCATCTTTTATTTCAAATACAAGTATAGTTAGCGTAAATTTTAGAGCAAATTTGGATGCTCAGAATGCAGGAAATGTATTTTCGTGCTTCAAATTTCAAAAATTTTCTGGGGGAGTACACCCCCACACACCTGACCATTGCCATCCTCCTCTAATAAGTAACGATAAATGATGGTTAATTTTTTTAACTTTTTGTGCGTTTTTTCCTTTATTTATTTCAAATACAAGTATAGTTAGCATAAATTTTGGAGCAAATTTGGATGCTCAGAATGCAGGAAATTACATTTCCGGGATTCAAATTTCAAAAATTTTCTGGGGGAGTACTCCCCCAGACCATCCCCATTCATGCGTGGTATATTGGCCACACACGTAGCCTTCAGCCATTGCTATCCCCCTCTAATATATTATCTCACAGAAAAGTCCCTTTTCAAAAAATGCCCCCCCCCCCCACGGGAAAATCCTTAAAAAAGGCCCTGGACATACTACAGTAGTTCAGATTTTTATAGAAAATAAAAAATTGCTCACGGAAAGCTTTCGCAAAATTTAATGCCATTATTCTATTTTCGCCCATCATGCAAAATCACGAAAATAAAGTCTCTCGAAATATTCGGCCTCGCAACTGCAAAAATCGCAAAAAAGTGCAACAAAATAAAGCTCAGATTGTAAGTTTAAATTGTTCTTCATTATTCCTGAGCCACCTTATATTGTTTTTGGGCCTTTAGCTTTTGTAAAATTATATCAAGGTATCAATAAATCAAAAATGCAGCTTGGACTTTATCTAGATATTTATATTTATTATATACAGTAGTAGAGCTCTGGTAGTCTATAGAGAGTGAGATACTGAAATATACACAACGAGATATTTTCCATATCTTCACTAGTGAAGATACCGGTCTCGTGACTTTTTCCAATTTGCTTTTGAGCGTGAAATTACACGGTGGCTTGAAGACATATGATCTTTATCTTCTCGTGTTAAAAACAATATTTTACTCACTCGCTGCGCTCGTTCGTAAAATATTGTTTTCACCACTCGAAGATAAAAGTCATATCTTCGCGACGCCGTGTAATATACTCTATTTATCTATAGTGTATATGTACTATTTAAAACACGAGAAGGAGTGTTTTATCATAAAACGCGAGTTCGAGTGTTTTGAGTAGCTTAAAATACGACTACAAAAGAATACTAATTAGGATGAAGAATTATATAATCAAACTAATTAGGATGAAGAATTATATAAAGAATACTAATAAAGATGAGTTTTATCAGACATAAAGTCACTCCACGTGACATATTATGGGTGACATGATTTGCCACAAGGTTTATGAATTTTTAATGAGTATTTTAAGTACTATTCATGACCACGAAAAAAAATCACTATTTGCGGTGAGGGTCTCCCACGGGGGAGGGTCTGTGTTCCCTTCCCATTTCACGAAGCTTCAAGGCATATTTTAACATGCGGCATTTGGCCCTGCAGGCTCACTAGTTTGTGGCTCAGACGGGCTCACAACCCCAGCCCCCCCAATTGTTTCCGAACGGATGTAGATATATCATATAGGAATTGAAATACAAAATAACAGTATAAACTCCGAATAACATTTTATTTTTAGTCGAACTTTCGACTAGTTTGTAGTCATCCTCAGGAATCAGGATTAATACGTAATAGTGTAAAATTACAGATGCAGCTATTATAAAGCCAAGAAAGGCGGAGCTTAATTAATGTCAATGAAATATGAGAAGTTCTTTGGAAGCTTTGTGGTTGAGATCAGGTTTTCGTCAGTCTTCGAGTCTCCTTAAATAACAACAGAGACCAATGGTCTACCCAGAGGGTCTGACCTATCAATTATTTTACAGTTTCTAAATATTAGTTCAGTTAAATTAGTGTTTATAGGGTTAGTTCAGTCAGGTGAAAGTTCCATAAGGGATTTGATGTGCTGAAAATGTTCGCAACACTGCAACAGTTGATGTGGGCGTTGATTTCCGAGTTTTCTCGCAAGCAATCTGTTTTACTAATGTAGGTACTTCGACAACCATACAACGGCAACGGAGCTTTTGTATAGGAAAATTTCCTAGAAATTGTGTTAAAGTGGAAGTGTCACCGAAGAAATTTTTTGGCGGGAAAGTTCATGTTGTTGTTCAATTTACAAGATGGCGGCCCAAGAGGAGTATGAACAAAATGTTTTATCTCGTAGTGGACGACAAGTGTTCATTGGAGACTTGGAAAGGCGTCGACCAACGTATGTATACAGTATATTTTAATCATGAGCTAAAATTTGTCCAAATGCACAAGACGTGTGGATTTAAAGTCTTTAAAGCCAATCAAAATATCTGCGACTTGTGAGTTGTGAGAATGGTCAGAATATTTTGTACGTGTTGAGTGTTGACTGTTGACTGTTGGGTTCCAGTGTAGATAGCAAAGAATTGACGGCTTTGTATGTTTCCAGGAGGATGCAACTAGCTAAAGTTACATCCTATACTGTACCTATACGGATATTTTCGCATAAAATTAACAGTTAACTAACTTAACTTGAGATGATTCAAGTTTTCTGGTTAATATTAAATATTGAACATGTGGCACTTGGCATTTGACCCTCTGATTCCAGTTCAGAATCAAACCTAAAGGCCCATTTCCACTAGAGAAACATTTTCCGGACAGAAAATTTGCCAAAAATATTGTTGAATGTTGAAAATTAAAAGTTGAAAATTTTCAAAAAAATTTGTGTCGGCCAATCACATTTTACAAATTTTCTTTCTGTGGAAAGTTTTCCTGAGTGGAAATGGGCCTTTACAGTTTACACTCATAATGCACGCAAGATAAATATTAGTATAAATTACATAACAATGTTAGATCTTGGCAAAGCGAGCTAGGTCGGGTAACCCGATTGGCTCACCACCATATAAACATTCCTTAAAGTGGAAGTCAAGTCCGTTCTGCGCATCGGTTCTGCTCATAACAATGTGAGGACCTCTAATGTAAACATTGCCCAAATTTCGAATGTTTCGAATTTTTCTGAACATAAACTCTATTTCATATTCATTAACTCATTAAGTTGCAGACTGTTGCAACATTGGCACTCCCCAAGTTGCAAGGAAAATGGCGAATTTTAGTTACTGTCAACTTCTGTCAACTGCTTTTACAAAAATACCCATATCTCAAGATCAATGTTATAAAAAACCTTGAAATTTTGCAGTGGGTTAAAATGATAAATTATTAATCAATTCTATTTTAAATGAGCTCCCACACTTAAATATATCATTAGATTTTTGGGTGAGAATTCTTGGTTTGTGTAAGTTTATGTCTCTGACATTTTGCTTCTTCATGACACCCAACATCTGAAGGGCAATAATTCAATAATCCAACATAAATGGAGAAATATTTTTTGATTCCTGGATTGGTACACATTTATTTTCAAATTAGTTTTCATCTTGTAGGGTATAAATTACAAAATAATGAAACGCTATAAAAATTTGCTTGGGCATAGCTCAGGCACACTCAGGACATCTAGTTTACAATGGAGAACTTGAACTTCAGAACTTGTTGTTCAAGTCCAAAAACTCTGTAACCCAAAAATACAGTGTTTGTACCTCTTTGAAGTTTTTAAATAGCTCAAATATGTTTGGAAAAACACGAAGTACAAAAATTACTAATTAAAATATAAACAAAGGATGAAAAAGGTGAGAAAATTTTAAAATATTTGAGGTGTTTTCAATTCTGACTTTGACAGCCGGCATTTTCAAACGCAGCGTGCGGTGACAAAACAAAAGGCTTTTTATTTCGCTATTAAGAGCACTGAAAGTCGTCAAAAAGAGATAAACACTTTTGAATATTCATCAGGTAAGAATTTTAACTGAAATTCCTTTTGTTTCTGTTGAGAAAACAACGGATTTGTGGCTAAAACGTCGTGCGCGCCAATGTAGGTTGCTGTAAAATGTCAGACAGGCGGTTTCTTTTGAAATCTGACTCTAGTTTGAAATCTGACTCTAGCTTGAAATAAGTCCTTTTCAAGGACCAATTGTATAAAAATATAATATGTATGCTCAAATAAAATGAATAATCTAATATTTAGGCATTTTAGATCGCTATAAAAGAGTGAAATAAAGGATTTCATCTTTGGTTGTTTGTCAGACGAGAGTAAACACATTGGTGACACTTTGTTGCGCATGCAGTTTTCAAAAGATAACTGCTAAAAATATAGCTTTTATTTCACCAAATAGCAAAGTATCTTGCAGATATTATTAAAAGAGCTCAAGCGAAGTAATTCCATGATAAATAAGTGAACAATGAGACCAAAAAAGCGACTAAATTACAATTTTGGAAAGTACATAAATTTAATGGCTTCCCGCAAAAGAAGCCATTTCAGAGGAGAACGGCATTTTGTAAACTGCTCTCCTGACCTATTTTAAACTTTTCCTTCAGGTAATCGATGAGTACTTCTTAGAAAATGAGCGTACATTAGTTTTATGATGTGCTTTATTGATTTAAAAATTTTATGGGGATATATGAAGCGATAAAGTGTATTTTAGAAGCTTTTCAAATCCCTGTCATGAAGGTTCAGAATTCGCACGCGCCAAGTAACGGCATAATTCAATACACTGATTTTAAACCACATTATCTCTGAAATGAGAGCTCGTTTCGAGACAAAGTTTATAGAAACAGATATAGTATTCATTGTAGAGTATTCTACTTAGTTTTAATGCGGTTTTACTCGAAATTTTTCTTGCCAAAAATGTATATACGCACATGACAAGTTGAACCTACTGTCTTCTGAAAGTACTTCGGCTAAAATAACAACTTGAGCAAGACGACCAACAGTAGGGTCACGAAAACAGTCGAAATCAAGCCATAAAATGCACGAAAAGTTCTTCTAAAAACTTAGTTTTAAACTAGATTGAACTTGCTTTAATGCTATATCGTATTTCATGAAAACATGCCAGGTATTTTCATTCAAAAACACGCTCAAAAAAATCGTAACTACTCACTTGGATTTAGTGTTCATGTTTCTTGCGATTTCCCACTTCACTTTTCCGTTAGATTGAAAGAAATTGCTGTTTTTCTGGCTGAAAATCGCGCGACTTGATTTGGACAAGAACTTGACTTGAAACATATGCACACTCCCTTATGTTTTACAATATATTTTATATGTAAAACTCTTTAAAAACCTCTTCTTTTTCATCCTTAAAACTTGCTGCAAAGTCCTATCTTGTGACACTTTGCGGTTGTCACAGGTTTTGCAAAAAAATAGAGTTTTAAAATCGAAAATCTTCGCAACCTTTTGATCAATTTTCTCGCATGATGTATCGTTTGAAAGCCCGAATTTTGCACTTTATACTCGTGACCGTTGCTAGGCAACCCGATAAACACGCGCTAGACAATCGTGCCCGGAAGTTGACGTGTCATCCAGGGCGCATGAGGGCGCAATGAGACTTACCCCGTTCCCAATTCCAGGGCGCATGGGGG